ATGACAGGCCTCTATTACACTGAAGTCAAGAACTGGCTGAATTATCTAGAGAATGATCATGAGAGATTCTGATGATCTGTTCTCAAGACCTATCTAGAGAACAAGTTAAGAGACTCTGTGAGCTGAACAGAGAACATCTGAACTGTGATCATCAATATTAGAAAAAGAGGTGAGAAATCTGATGAAGACTACTTACAGTGTTTCATAGAATTGTGATGTGAATTAAGACCTGTGAAAACAGGGCTCTGAAATAAGACCTGAATAATGATGTTCATGAAGAGACTGGATAAAGATATGCAGAACAAGCTCATTAAGTAAGATTCTAAGCTCTTGACTCTGGAGAAACTGATGACTCTCATTCATCACTTATGAATCACTGTGAGAGTCACAGACCTGCAGAGAGCAGATCATCAACTGGTCTTATAAGAGTCAGAATAACAGAGAACAGGTTTGTTAGAAAAAGATAATAAGATACAGAGAGATTCACATCTGACTGCTGAGCAGAGAGAGAGAGCTTCACAAGCTCCTGTAAACAGAGTGTATAACAGAGAGATCAAGAATAAGAGACTCTGCTTCATCTATTCTAAATCAGGACATCTCTGTGTAAACTGTCTGAACAAACTAAAATAGGAATTTGAAGAGTCACAGACAGAGTTAGCAACAGCCTTCTTAAGAGTCTTGAAGCTGACACCTGAATCTGTTACTCTCTCAATGAAAATGCTTGCTTATAAGAAGAGATCACACTGCAGTGCTGCTGTCTCACAAGCATGAAAAGCATTGATGAACTCAGAATCTCAGGTCACTGTGATGTTTCTAAAGCTCATGAAGCAAATGAGCTGAAAGATAAAGACTGAGAACCTGCTCTTGTAACAAGCAGAGCATGAGAACTCAGATCTAAGAACTGAGAGACTTGTGAGAATCATCTTTGAATTGCAAGATCTCTCTGAAATCTGAAGAAGATTTATAAAAACTATGATTGTTGCAGACATCACAGATGACATGTATTTGAGACTTACATGACTTCAAAGACATAATTCACACATAGCTGTCTATGAGTCAGGTTTATACTTCTGATCAGTGTTGATAGACTCATTCACAGAGATAGAAGCAGTTGATACTGTAGAGTTAATTAGAGAAGACAAGCTCATCTATATAATGACTTTGTGAGTGTCTGAGAATCTCACAGTCATGAAAACTGAGCTTCAGATATCAGAGAAATACTGAGATCTCACAGAGATGTTCAGTTCAGCTAAGACAGCTGAGCTTTCTTCTCACTGTAAGAAGAATCTGATAATAGATTTAATAGAAGAGCAGAAACTCTTCTGAGAATCAATCTATAAGCTCTCTCATCATGAGACAGAGGTCTTGCAGACCTATGTGAAGAAGAATCTGAAGAATAACTTTATCTGATCTTCACAGGCCTCCGCAGAAGTCTCTGTGATATTCATAAAGAAGAAGAATAAAGATCTCAGATTGTGTGTAGACTATTATGATCTGAACTTCAAGATAATAAAGAGCTGCTATTCTCTGTCTCTGATTGAGAATGTGATTAACTGTCTTACAGAAGCTGTCATATTCACACAACTGAATGTAATCAATGTATATACACAGCTGTGAATACAGTCTGAGAATGAATGAAAGACTGTCTTTAGAACTGCACTGAGATTGTTTGAATATCTAGTAATGTCTTTTGATCTGACTAATGTCCCTGCAGCATTCCAGTCTTTCATCAATAAAACACTTCACATATATCTGAATGTCTTTGTGATAATATATCTGAATGATGTGATGATGTACTTCATGAAGAAGAAAGAACACACTGAGTATATACAAAGTGTGTTGAAGGTCTTAGATGAGACAGAACTGTATATTAAGCTTATAAAGTACAACTTCAGTGTTCATCAGATTAATTTCCTAGAATATATAATCATCATAAATGATATTCAGATGAAATCTTTATAAGTTGAGACTATTCTATTATAATCAGAGTTAACTAGTATTCATGAGATTCAGATCTTTCTGAGCTTTGTGAATTTCTATAGATGATTTATCTTTGTATTTATGAGAATCTTCTTGACTCTTACAGACATGCTGAAGAGTGAAAACAAGAAGAAGTCATTCTATGAATAGAGAATGAAAAGATTGTTGAGAAGAGAGAACTGTAAGAACTTTCTTATCTCAGAAGCTCATGAGATCTTTACAAGATTGAAACAGATATTCACAGATGCAGTGATGCTGTTTCACTTTAATTTCTTACTCTTAATCAGATTGAAGATAGATGTCTTCTTCTTTATAATTTCAGAAATAGTCTTGTAACTACAGTTAAATGAGAACTGGGTTTCAGTGATCTTTTTCTCACAGAAGATGCAATCTGCAGAGATCAACTATGACATTCATAATCAGAAGCTTCTTATGATAGTGAAATTCTTTCATCACTGATGTCACTACTTTGAGAACCTCATGACAGTGATTACTATTAGAACTGATCATGACAGCTTGTGATAGTTTACTTCAATCAAGAAACTCTCACAGCAGCAGGTTCACTGAGCTCAGAGACTGAGTGAGTTCTGATTCAAGATAGAATATATTAAGAGAACTAAGAACTCAGCAGACAGACTCTCTTACAGACCAGACTATGTTAAGAAGATCAGGGCAACAGATACAGAGAGACTAGAGAAGATAGAAAAGCTTCACAGAATGCTCAGACTGAGTATTATGAAGAGATTAACTGAAGAGTCTCTCAATTCTCTGTAAGAGAAGAGAAAGAAGAGAGAGAAGAAGCCTGTACAACTACTCTCTATAACACTGAGAGTCAACACTCTGAAAATCTCTGTGAGAATTCTTGAAGAGAGTATCTATAATCTGAAGAGTTTGCAGACTTTGAGAAGTATCATGAAAGACCTGATGTAAGAAGAAACAGAGTATAAGTCTTTATAAGATCTTCTATTCAGATTGTCTGAACTGTAACTGAAGAATGAATATACTCAGTATATTCAGAAACTGCTCACAGTAGAAATCAATCCTGCAGAAATAAAGAATTGAAGAGACTTAAATAATCTCTTGTAAAGAGAGAGCTGAATTTATGTGCCTGTAAATGAGTTTCTATATATAGAACTTATTAAAAGGTATCATGACTCTTCTCTAGCAGATTATTTTATAGATACTAGAACTCATGAGTTACTTGTAAGAAAATACTTCTGACTGAAGATATAAGAATTTGTGAAGAAGATAGTGAATTCTTATACTGTTTATCAGGGTTCACAGGTAGTGTGATCCAGATCATATGAAGAACTTACTTCTCTATTCATCTCACAGAAATCTTGAAAACAGCTAGAAATGAATGCTCTTATGAGCCTCTCTGAAAGCAAGAACATATATGATGCCTGCTTTGACAGTGTGCTGATAATAGTGAATCACTTCATCAAGATGACATACTTTATACTCATCTGCAAGAACTTGAAGTCAAAGAATTTAACTCATATCTTCATCTGCAATGTGATCTGATTGTATGAATTATCTGTGAATATTATCTCAGACAGAGAATTAATCTTTACAGAAGAGTTCTGATCTGATCTGATGACTATACTGAAGATCTTATAAGATCTAAGTATGACTTTTTATCAATAGACAGATGATCAGACAGAACATCTGATGAGTATATTAAAACAGTATCTGCAGTGCTTTGTCAATTACAATCAGAATGACTGAGTGCATTGATTATCACTTACAGAGTTCATATACAATAACTCAAAGCATGTCAGCACAGATAAAACCCTCTTTGAGATGCTCACTGAGACTTATCTATGAATGATCTTGATGAACCTATGAGAGTACACTATAGAGTGTGATGATGCCTGTGAATAGGCTGAGAGAATTCAGAAGATTCAGAAGAAAGTCTGTGAATTCTTGAGAAAGGCTCAAGAGTATCAGAAGAGATACTATAACTTCAAGCACATTGTGAAGAGTTTTAAGAAAGATGATAGAGTCTAGCTAAGTCTAGAAAACATCACTATATAAAGATCTAGTAAGAAGCTGAATCTCTTACAGACAGAGTCTTATAAGATTATGAAGAAAGTTAGTTCACAGTTCTACAGATTGAAACTGTTATCTGAGTTGCAGATATACAATGTTTTTTATATCTCTTTACTCTGTGAATATAAGGAATTCTCAGAAGAGAATTCTGTGACTCATTACTCTGTCTGTGAAGTACTAGAGAGTGAAAGAGAATATCAGATTAAAGAGATTATTAACTCAGAGAAGTGAGATCATGAGCTCTGATTCAAGGTTCAGTGACAAGAGTATTCTGATAAGATGAATGAGTTCACTTAAGAATCATCTGAGCAGATAAGACATCTGCAGAAGCTGAGACATGACTTTCATACTATAAATTCTGATAAGTCAGAATGATACAGTCTTCACTAAGAATCTGATTATAATAAAGATATTAACACTGTCATTTATGAATTCTAGTCTATAAATAATGAGTTTCTACTGAGATGAATAGTCTGCAATGTATGCAAGAGAAGAAGAAAATATATTCTCATTAAAGCTAAAAAATAAGAAAATAAACAGAACTGTGAATACAATTTAGAGATTAATAAAGAAAAAATAAAGAAAACTCACACTCATATTATTAATATCTGTGACACTCAATTTTCTCACAACTATCAATTTTTCTCTTTAAAGAAGTAGAGAGTATCATATCTGCAGTACAGATAATTATTGCATTTGATGTGAAGACTGTCAGAAATGCACAGACTTCAGAGAAGCTGAATACTAGAGTATACACAGTTGCAGCAGAACCTTGAAGACTAGTCATCTGTATATATGATTAGATATCTCTTATAAAGCTGTGTCTGCTCTCTCAGTTGTGCTGGAGTATTCAGCCTGAAAACAATGAGAATACAGAGAGAGAACTTATCTGTTCAGATCAACTCTCATTGTGAATTCATGATATTCACATTGCCTTGATTATTCAGATTTTGCAGGTACTCAGAGATTCATCTCTCATTGATAATGAGATTGCGGAAATGCACCGTGGTGTGAGAATCATTGATAGAGAATCTAGACATATTTGCATATGCCTGGTCAGAGATTGTGTGAGCAGAGAAGAGATGATCATAGGCCTGTGAGACTGCAGGAGACACTGACAACACTGAGAGCTTTATAAGAACTGTCAGCTAGAATCTGTAAGGAATTACTTATGAGAAGACTTACAGCAAAGAAGAGAACTACACTGCTTAGAGTCAGAGGCTGGTCTGAAGAAGAGATGAGATGAGCCGCTGGCCTGAAGATCAGATGCAGTGATAAGGCTGAAGAAGATGAAGGCATGATTGTGAGCAGCAGTGTCCCTGCTTCACCAGCCAGTAAAAAGCAATCAGAGAAGTCATAGAGATGCCCATGAGAAGCTCAGCAGTGATCAGACATTGTTTACAAAGATATTGAAATTGAAAAAAATTTTTATTCTTGAGAAGTTCTTGAATCAATATATAGATATTATCAGAAACACTCTCTCTCTATCATCTGAGTGAAAACACTTTATAAATGAATAGAAATACTCACAGTTTATGAGAATGAGAGCTGTTACAGAAAAAGAGAAAAGAAGATAAGATTCTATGAACAGATCTGAGATATTTATACTACTCTAGAGAGATTTACTTACACTGTGAGTGATTCTATAGAACAGTCAGATCACTCTAGTAAATAAGAGTGATTGTGAATCACAGGCCTGAATCTTTCTATATGACTATAAAGAGTGATTGCAGACTGTGAATATCTTGATTCTATAATTCTACAGAGTTAATGAAAGAATGGAAAATTCCTCACAATTCTACAGTGTTAAAGAGCAATGATTTATAAGAATGAATGAAAGATTAACTTATAAATGTTTCTCTTTGATAAGAGTGATCTCACAGAGAGTGATTCATCTATGAGATGAATCTATGTGATGATCACATAAGAATCTCATGAAAATGATTGAGAGTCAACTGAAACTCTTCTGTATGAAAGATGTGAGATGAATCTGTATAATAGTCAGAGAAGAATCTGTAGATTACAAAGAATCTCATGAAATAAGAAACTGAGTGATAGACTCTTTTCTCTTCACAGTAACAAGGGATTTTTCCTCACTGAGGTTTTTTTATAGATGTGAAGAGTTTTTAGTGAGTATCACTACAGTGCTGAGCTGACTATGAAGTCACTCAGTGAAAGGCTTCACAGATGAAGCCTTAGAGAGAGAGAGATATGTAAGAAATCTCACTTCTCACAGATTCTTTATCTCTATTTCTATCTCTCATGTAATCAATAGGGCTAGCGGCCCTTGGCTACACACAACTATATAGACTGAAGTTCATGAATACTATTTACAACTCAGCTTGAATGCTATTATACATTTGATCTCTATGTTTATCTTTCTATCATGAACACTTCTAGTAGTTAACAGTATATATCACGCCAAGCTGCAAACACCTGAATAATCGCCTGCGAGCACTTATTCTTACATTAAACTAGAGATATTTATCAAATCTTTTTTAATATTTCTTTATAGTGAGTGAAGATTTAGAATACTTAATATTCTTCTTTATATTCTCTGTACTGAAGCTATCACAGTGCTATTTAGATTCTATTATTAATTACTTAGAGGAGATTTTATTGATCTTTTTCTCAGAGTATTGATTATTTAAATAGATTCAGAAAGTGAAGTTAAGAAGCTTAGTATAATTAATTAATAAACTCTGATACTATGATATTATTATCTACATCTTGTAAGTCAGCTTTACAAGATAAAGCTGTATCTTTAATTGATTCAAATTATCAGTCAATTTCTCTTAATATTGTTTAAATATTATATTGAAATTGAAAGAATTCTTATGATTTTATTAATATAATGAGTTGAACTACTGTATTACTGTAAAGCTGTAATTACAGTGATCTTTAATCTGATTCAGTAGAAAGTCTTTAAATTCTTGTTGAGTAATAATAGTATTAATACACTCAAGCTCTCTCTTCTTAATGACTTAAGTAGTTTCAGAGATGTCTTCAAGAAGGTTAACAGTGTATATTACTTATATCTTAAAGTATTATACTGACTTGAATTAAGATGAAATTTTCATTGAAGAATATAAGTGAAGTTGTAAAATTCAGATAATATATTTCTTTTATAGTTTGAAGAATCTTCAATCTTAATGTCTCTATCTTCATACTAGATATAGAAGTGTAGAAGCGGCAGCAGTGACAGAGTATTTAAAGAGCTTATACTGAAGTATGCACTGAGTTCAGAAATCTCAGATTTCTGTTAAGATAGAGAGATATACACTCTAGAAGATAATATGAAGTTTTTCTCAGAAAATGAGATTGAATCAGTCTCAGCATGAGTGTATGAGATTATATCAGTCTGTTGATAGAGCTCAACTGATTCAAATTTATAATCAGATTAAGTAATTTAAATTGTAATATAATAGAACTGAAGCAGTGACTAGTTAGTAGTATTATATAGATAGTTATTTAAGAAGCTGTATAAGTGAGCTTAACTATCTTACTTGAATAGTGAGCTCATGAGCTACAGAGTTATTATGAGAATATCATAGATATAGTACTTAGTATACTAAGAAGATTAGACTAACCGTGTAACCGTGTCTGAGACCAGGACCAGATTTTTTGATAGTCTCATTATCAATTCAACTGATCTTATTACATGGTTTTAAGATTAGATAGTAGTTTCATACTGTCTCAGTGAGACTTACTGTCTACTCTTGTCACATTTTCCAAATGAGATCATGATTTCCACTTCTCAATTTAAATTATTTTTATTGCTTTAAATGACTTTAAATCTCATTTGAGTGTTATCAAAAAGTGTTACTTTTTAAAAAATTAAAAATAGGCTAAAAAAAACCTTAAAATATCTAAAAATAGGAACTTTATGTCAAGAATGAGACTAAATGGGACCAAATGAGATCACTTTCTCATTGTTTTCAAGTCATGGTTCCATTTTAAGATCTGATATATAGTCACTTTACATGTTTTTTTGATAGCCAGTCCCAGCGGGATTCATGCCAAGAAATGTATGAGACCAGACCAAATGAGACCAAACGTGAAATTCATGGTCCCGGCGGCCAGTCTAAAGAAGATTGTATAAGGTTTGCAGTAACTCTTGATATATATTATCAGTAGAAGAAAAAATGAATCACTGACTTCTTTGATAGAGAGTCAGCATCTAGCTATTCTGTATAAATAATGAGTAGATACTTCTCTTCTATTCTATAAGTGAGAATAGTCAGAGTAATACCTCAGCAGTGTCTCACTGCTGAACTAACCGCTGAGATCATGAATTTTATATTTGATCTCATTTGATCTGATCTCATACATTTCTTAGCATGAATCCCGCTGGGACTAGTCATTAAAAAAACATGCAAAGTAACTATATATGAGATCTTAAAATGAAACCATGACTTGAAAAAAATGAGAAAGTGATTTTATTTGATCTCATTTAGTGTCATTCTTAACATAAAGTTACTATTTTTAGACATTTTAAGGTTTTTTTTAGACTATTTTTAATTTTTTAAAAAGTAACACTTTTTAATAATACTTAAATGAGATTTAAAGTCATTTAAAGCAATAAAAATAATTTAAATTGAGAAGTGAAAATCATGATCTCATTTGAAAAATGTGACAAGAGTAGACAGTAAGTCTCACTGAAACAGTATTAAACTACTATTTAATGTTAAAACCATGTAATGGGATCAGTCTAATTGATAATGAGACTATCAAAAAATCTGGTCCTGTTCTCAGACACAGTCACACAGTCAGTCTACTCACTGCTATGAAAGAGTAATCTGCTGATCTTATATAGAAGCAGGATTTTTATATTCATCAATTAAATCTTTCTATATTACATCTGAATAATATCATAGAGTGATTGGAAACCAGTTTGAATAGCCTGCGGGATAAATGAAATCATCTGTAAAGAAGTGATGAGTCATGTGAAACCGCAACAGAGCCTTGACGCGGCTGAGAGTGTGACATCTTTCTAGTTTATCAACAGAGTCATTTCTCATTTCTCTACTCTTAACAGGTGTTTGAGAATTCAAATTCTTTTTATATTTAGCTGAAGAATTTGCATTTGAGAATTTATATAATTGAGAGTTTCTTCTTTTTAAGCTTGTAGTTGCAGATTAACTGATCTGACTATTATCTTCAGTTTTAGATTGACTTTGAGCTTCTTCTTTTCTTTAGTTCTTTTGAATTCTTGAAGTAAACATGCATTCTTTTGAGCTAGATACATGCTTTTCTTTGCAGTTAGAGCATTTAACCAGAGTATATTGACATATTTCACCTCTTTTTGAGCATATTTCATATTAATGCTCACTAGCTTTATCATCTTTGACACAGAATTCACATTTTGAGTCTCTAAAACAAGAGATTGCAAAGTGTCTGTATCTTTGACAGTTTGAACACTGTGTTTGTGCTTTGAGATTCATTCTGAGTTTGCAGATAGTGTAGTTAAAATTATATAAAAAACTTATTTCTCTACTCATCTGATAGAAATCTTAAGAATAGCTAGAAATAAACACACTTATAAATCTCTCTGAAAGTAAGAATATGTATAATATTCTCTTTAACAGTGTGCTGATGATAATAGATTGCTTTACTAAGATAACACACTTTATACTCATCTATAAGACTTGAAGTTAAAGAATTTAACTTAGAGCTTTATCTGTGATATGATTCAGTTATATAAGTTATATATAAACATTGTCTCAGATAAGATAATTAATTTTTATACAAGAGTTTTAATCTAATCTAATAACTATACTAAAGATCTTATAAGATTTAGAAATAGCTTTTCACTAACAGATAGATAATTAAATAGAATATCTGATAAGTATATTAAAATATAATCTATAGTACTTTGTCAATTATAATCAGAATAACTGCGTCTATTAATTATTATTTAAAGTTTATATATAATAACTTAAAGTATATTAGTATAGATAAAACTCTCTTTCAGATACTCACTGAGACTTGTTTATAAATAATCTTGATAAATTTATAAGAGTATACTATAGAGTATAATAATATCTGTAAACAGACTGAGAGAATTCAAAATATTCAGAAGAAAGCTTATAAAGTCTTGATAAAGACTCAGAAGTATTAAAAGTGATACTATAACTTTAAGTATATTATAAAAAGTCTTAAGAAAGATAATAGAGTTCACTAAGTTTGAAAAATATTACTATAATAGAGATCTAGTAAGAAGCTGAATCTCTTATAAACAAAGTCTTATAAAATTATGAAGAAAGTTAGTTTATAGTTCTATAGATTAAAACTGATAT